TTTCCAAAGCTTTGAAATAAATTTTGCTTTTCTTTAAAACGTGGATTTATTCTCGATGCTTGGGGATCCAACAACAGGGAGCATTGGAAGGCACCCGTCTGACTCACCCCTGTCAACTCTTTATCCCAGGAGATGTGCATGTAACATGTTGTGGCGCATCACATTTTGAGTATCGCCGCCCACTGTATCTGAGGAAATGAGTTCTGACTGACAGAAGCAATGAAAAAGGTGTTAGTCTTTAAGGTGCCACTGGACTTCTGTTTTGTTTGGCTACAGTAGACCACCACGCCAACCCCATCGGATCCACTGAGTTGGGCAACAGTCATTTGGTTTTCAAAGGATGAACAAAACAGAGACGTGTCGATGCCACTCTGTGCTGAACTCTGCAACACGCTTCCCAAGCCTCCTCCTGAGCTTTGTACCCGTCTCCTCTTTGCCGGCAGCCGAGCGCTCTTCCTGTCCACCGCCAGCCGCTGGCGGCTACAGGCGCTCTACCGGGCGTGGCCTCTTCGCGGGAGAGCGAGGCCTAGCCGGGGGCTGGCTTTGCGCCGACGTCGAGCGCGCGCGCGCGCACCTCTCCCATGATGCCGCTGCTCCTGACGTCTCCCCCCTCCCCATCCGAGGCAGCTCCGGGTTCGGCGCGGGTTGGTGGCAGCAGGCAGGAACCTCGCCTTTCCCCCCACCCAGGCGGACCAGCAGTCGCTCCTCTCGGACTAGAGGCGAGCCGGACGCCCCGAGAAGGATCTCGCCATGACCGCGTCTATGAGGCAGAGATTCGACAAGTTCCTGCACGAGAAGAATTTCCTGACCAGCGTTCTGGAGAAAATCGAGAGCAGGACTGGGGTGAGCAGGTCCTACGTCGCCCTCGGTGAGTCACGCGGGCCCTGCCCGCCCGGCTTTGTCATTCCCTCCGAAGTCTCAGAGGCTGCCAGATCATGGTCTAGAAAGCGGCGATGGTCACGACATGGATACCGGAGGGAGGGGGGAGGATTTCTGAAGCGTGGTGCGGCCCGAGTTGGGTTAGGAGACAGGCTGGCATAACGGGGCCACTCTTTAAAAAGAGGCTTAAGGAGTGCCCTCCACCCTTTTCGGATTTTCGCCACTCTGGAATGAAGAGATCGTGAAATTCTCTGCCGTTCTCCTGCCACCCACCCATCCATTTTTAATATCCTAGGGAGCGGCTACGGAGGCCCCCGCGCCTGTCTCGATTGCGGGGTATTTATGGAAGAAGATCATGCATATGGGGAGGGGGAGGTGTGGGACGCTCGGCCCTTAAGGCTGACCGTCCAACAGCAGCTGGGCTCTGGTTTCCGTAGGCCGATGCCTTCCTCCTCCTCCGCTCTCAGCTCATCACACTTCTTCAGCTATGTGAGGCACCTCCTTTGAAACACACGCACTCTTCCCCCTTTCAAGGGAAGCAGCCGGGTGGAAGAGCAGTCCCTCCCTCTGTGTACTGAAACGAGGAGGGGAAGGAGAGTAACTTCCGCTGAATGGTGATTGAGTAGCTGACGTGTCTGGGTCGGGCTCAAGTCTCCGTTCGCCTGGGTGTTCGGCCATGTACCCCTTCAGCATTACAGGTTAACCCTGCTTTCTAAACCCCCCCCCCCGCATTTAATAAACTTGCCTCTAAATGGGCAGGATGTGGTGCCTTGTTGCTCTGTGTGGGCTCTCTGAGCTTCATGGAAGATTATTTGCATTTTCCCGTCCTCTCTCCTGCAGTTAAGAAAACATGTCCAACTTTATGTAATCAGGCCCTGCCTTGGGTTGTGCGTGTGTGTGTGTTTGCATTTAGGCCTCCCTTCCCCACTGACTGACTTTCTGCTTTCTCTTGAGATAGCCCTTGTTGGTGTGCTGGCCATCTATCTGGTGATTGGCTACGGAGCATCCCTGCTCTGCAACTTGATCGGCTTCGCTTACCCTGCCTACATCTCGTAAGTGTTCTTTCTCTTGCTGTGTGCTGGGAGCTGCTGTAGAAGCAGATCACTGTGGAGGGGATGGGTAGTGTGCTAGAGAGAAATTTCACAGTTAAGGCCATTTGTATTTATACTTGGTTGCAAGTCGCTGCCAAGCAGTCACATTGAGTAGGGCTGTGCTGTTACTCAGGTTTAATCTTAAAGCAGTGTCTAAACATGCCAGATTTCTCTTGGGATAGACTCTGGCATCCTTAGAGTTTGGCACTCAGGAGGACCTTCTACCCAAGAGGCTGATCTTACATCATGAGGCTGACACTGAATTCTCAGTGCATATAATGTGGGAAAGAACCCAGAGAGAAGCAAGCAGGCATGCCTTAGTCTTAAAATGAAGGTTGTGTTTATTGTCTCATAGCTAAGAAACTTCCCTGCCAGACGGCTTCCCTAAGTACCCACTCTCCACAGAATGAAAAGTTACCATCTCAGTCTTGCTTTGTATGATGAAGCAATTGGCTGTATTTCCTTAAATGTTTCTGTTGTTTCACAGGGCTCTTTTTGTAGCAGGAACTCCTTTGCATATTAGGCGACACACTCCTAATGTAGCCGGTCCTCCAAGAGCTTACAGTAGCCCCTGTAAGAAGATCTCTGTAAGCTCTTGGAGGATTGGCTACATTAGGGGTGTGTTGCCTAATATGCAAAGGAGTTCCTGCTACAAAAAGAGCCCTGGAAGAGAATATCAGAGTACACACATAGTCATCTTACAGCATCTTGCTTGGCATGATCAAGGCAAAACAATGTACTTTTAAGCTCTCTTGATTACAGAAAAAATCAGAAGAGTTACAGATGCTCAGCTTTGGTGGGATTGTTGCCCTTCTTTGTAGGATGTACCTTTCAGCCCTTAAGAGTAGAATGCAATAAAGGCTCTTGAGACATGAGGTTTTTGTTCTTAGGGGGATCTTGACTAAAGGCTGGCAGCTGATAACAGCTGGTATGGATTAGGATGAGAGCCACACCTTAATGTAATACAAACTCTGTGAAACTTTGCTGGAAGGATATTATTGTGAAATAAAGGAATAGTGCATTGAGTAAGTATCATGAGAACTTTAAATCCATGTGATTGATATGCTAGATAGTATAAAAGGATGGTTTAGGACTTTAACTCCCAGTGTTTCAAGTATGAATGCTATCCAGTTGTTGCCAGTTGCAAGTATTGCTCCATACTGAAGTGGGTATTGGTGTGATGTAATTCTACCCATTCCTTGGTAAGCTGAAATACTGTGACATCTTAACATGCAGTTGTGCAACCTTTGCCCTGCCTGTAACTCCTTTTCGTCCATGATAGGACCCAGTTCCTTGAATGAACATGGACATTTCCCACATATTCAAGTTCATCATTTGAATATGTTTTCACAGATCTGACAATGCAAATAGAACTTGTCAAGACAGTGAGTTTCTCACATTCAGTTTCTAGTCATCATGCGTATTGTAAAGAAGTGGTATGTTCAGGAATGGATCAGGCCTATTAATGCCAGTGTCTCAGTTCTCTCTTCCTGTCATTCCTATCTTAATTATGATGTGATTCTTATATTAATTGGCATCAGGCCCAATCCTGGACATACCCCTGCCCAAGTCAGGTGATGTGGCAGGTTTCATCCAAACCCCTTGCGAATGGATGGTCAAGGCCACAGGCAGGCCAGACAGTTGGTAAGTGGGTACAGGCAGTGCCATCAGCCAGCTGGGCAAGTCTGGAAGTAGTGGCCTGCCCAGTTGTGGCAACAAGTAGTCACTCAGCAGCTGGGAGAGGGGCAGGGATGAGCATAGATGATGGGCACATTGGCCTTGCACTTTCATGGAGCTCATGCCTTTGGTAAGAAGTCAGAGCCTCTTGCTGAGTATAAGCAGTTTGGGTGTGTATTTAAAAGGAGCTAGCACTGCACCCTGAGGAGGAAACAGATGAGTTCTCTCCAGGCTGCAAGGGCAGTGCCTGCTGAGAGGAGGAGGAGGGAGATGGTGGTTGCAACCCCCTTTGCTCTCCATTCTGAAGGCACACTAGCCCCAAGACCCAGGAATGGATCCAGCTAGCAGCAGCCACAGCTACTGAGGGCAATGGAGTCCTAACATTGGCAGATAGTTGAGCCACATCTACACCCCACATAATGAATGGTTCAGTTGAGTTACCTGGTATAATGCAACAAACAAAGTGTAAAGTGCCTTTCTTCTTGTCTCAAATGGCCTGATTTAATGTTTCCTCCATTAGAGGAGGAGAGGAGGAGATTAGATTTATACCCCGCCCTTCACTCGGAGTCTCAGAGCGGCTTACAGACTCCTTTCCCTTCCCCTCCCCACAACAGACACCCTGTGAGGTAGGTGGGGCTGAGAGAGTTCTTTCAAGAACTTACCCTTTCAAGGACAGCTCTTGTCAGAACTATGGCTTGCCCAAGGTCATCCAGCAGCTGTAAGTGGAGGAGTGGAGAATCAAACCCGGTTCTCCCAGATTAGAGTCCGCACACTTAACCACCACACAAAACTGACGTTGTATTACAGGAATGTTTTAAGCCATGCTAGTGGTTTTAAAATCATTCCTGTTACATGTTTTTGAATTGTGCTCGTGAAGCAGAGGTTTGTCTGTACTCTCCAACTTGCTGCTCTGAATAATGTTAATAAAGGTAGTTCAGTAAATATGCTTAGGAACAAGGATGAAAGCGGCATTGTGTAACAGGGTAGAAGGCTTTACAAAATGGGACGAAAGGAAGACAGAGATCATGGAGACTGGTTTACGCATGATGCTGGTGCCCAAACAAGCGCTTTTGGGCTGTTAGTCCAGCTGGAAAGCTCACAACTGGGACCTGCACAAAAGTGCTGTTTGTTTGACTTAGCACCCCCATGTAGGTTGTTTATAGGCACCTACAGCTCGAAAACGTGCCACCACCATCATAGATGCACACCATTGATGCAAAGGTGCTGGTTCAACCCAGCAGCCCCAGCATGTGGACACGATCTGGCTCTGTGCTTTGTTGCAGTCTGCATACTTGTGTGAGGAATGCTGCCATGTGGTCCACAGTGAGTCTTCCACTGGAAGATGTTTGAGGACAAGTCAAGCACCTATATGAACAGGGTTAAACACCCCCCCCCCCAATTTTCTTCAGATTTCTTAGCTAGACAGCAGTTATAAAAGAGCAGAGTAAATGGATTGGATCCTTTGGGAAAACTCATTAAAAGAAGTTGGTGGACTGGGTCTTTTCCTACCTTTCCTATATGCTTGTTGCGGAACTCTTGTGAACAAGATGCCACACAACATCGGGGGGAAAGCGAGAACGGGAATAAGGCAAAATCATGTCCTCCTCTTCTCTTTCTGCTGGTGACTCATATCATCAAACTTCTACAGCAAGCCAATGCATTTAGTTCTTCCCTCCCCCAAATCATTGTGCCCTTGAGGTACTTTATGCGTCTTCTTGGTTTTGGCGACTCTCTATTTGTGGTTGGACATGTCAGTGTTTTCCTGTAAAAGCACAGTAGAAGCCAAAGACAATCAAAATTTAAAACCTTGTTAAACCAAGAGTACTCTTGTAAGCAGAGTAACCGTATTCGAAGTCTATTGGAGTTAATGGATTTAGAAGGGTTTAACTCTTGTTAGGATGGCACAGCAGTACTGGCAAAAGAAGTCATTTCAAACAAGAATTGCATTTTATTGCGGAGTGAAGTGAGTGTCTCCTTCATAGAGCAATCAGGTCATCATGGCTGCTATATTTGGTGTTGACTATCACAGCTTCTGTGAGGTGAACTTGGGAGATATGAATCTCTTAATATTGCTTTCCCAGAGGCTCATATCAGTCCAGCAGTAGTCTTCTGTGTATGATAAGGACATTGCATGCACAGAATAGCTGATCTGCATGTGCAGCAGACTTGAGGAAGCTCACTGTCAGAAGTCACAAAGAGATCCTTTTTAAATGAATGTTTTTTATTATTTTCTCTTAGAAGGGTGGAATACAGAAGGAAAAAATTAGTAGAGGAGAAATATAGATTCATCAAATTTGTAAAGTATTATGGATTGGTACATGCAACAAGTAAAATCAGATATATTACCAAATGTATTACATATTTCAAATATAAGAGCAAACAATAAAACTTGAATATTATAGAATTACAGAATTTGGGATAGATTCTCTCTTTAAAGAATAGACAAGAACTTTCCTAAGGTTAACGATAATCTATTAACGTTCTATACTAAAATTCTATACTAAAATCATTGTAAAAACCTTGATATTGTTTTAATTGTTTATCAAAATCTAAATTTTATTCTTACTAATTATTTAATTACATATTGAGGCTATAATCAATATTTTCATCATGTTTAATATGATATTCAGGTAATTTCAGAACTTAAAAAAACAAGTTATTTATTTCCATAGTGTGAGTAATAAGGTTGCCATTTCTGCTGAAATTCTTTCAATATAATTGGTTAATTTTGCCAATGTTGCATACTCAGCTAGTTTTTCTTTCCAGATCTCTGTTGCAGGAAAATCTTCTGTCTTCCATTTCACTGCAAATATTACTCTGGTAGCTGTTAACATATATTTAAATAGATCTTGTGAGGTGAGATTCTGTCTATGTTGCTTGGTAAGATTCCCAGTAACATAGTCTCTGGTTTCATCAGGAATTTGGTTTTTAAAATATTTTGAATTTTCTTCATGTATGTTTTTTCAGTATCTTTTGGTTTTGATATAAGTCTACCACATATGATTAAAGGTGCCATCTTCTTTTTTTACATTTCCCACAAGCCCCTTTGCAGTTCTTATCCATCTTTGTAATATCTATTGGAGTGACGTACCATCAGTAAAACATCTTGTACCAGTTTTTTCTTAAAGCTTGACTGTCAGGAAATCGAATACCTTTAGTCCATAGATGTTCCCAAGATTGAAACTGTATTTCCTCTCCAAAATTTTGCATCCATTTAATCATGCATAGGAAAAGGAGTACGACAAGGATGTATATTGTCACCTTGCTTATTTAATATATATGCA